TGGACAATGATCTAATATCTCCCTGAACAGTGCACGTTCACCACCGCACTGTTCAGGGAGACTGTGGCTGAGAGGGAGTGCGTTCGTCAACATGTCGATGTGTCCTTGGGCGAGATACTGAACCCTGAGGTGCTCCTCATGGCCAGCGGAGTGTAGTTTATTTGTTCATAGTGTCGTGGACAGTCCCCGTCGATGAACTGTCACAAAAACAGTCAATGGAGCAGCTTTAGCCGACATGGCTCATTTCCAGCTGGTGTCCCCGGCCAGATGGAAATAGACACCGTTAGAATCACAATATATCAACAGCATTAGTTTAAAAAATATAAAATAAAATAAAAAGGATGAAAGACAAGTAGATACAGACGAAAGGATAAGAGAGAACAATACACAACACATGTTACTACATACAGTATGTCACATATAGCACATCACAATCACATAACAGAAACCAGGGGCAACATCCATGATCACAACATGTAACACTCACGCCATATTGTGTGTGTGAGTGTGTGAGTGTGTGTGTGTGTGTGTGTGTGAGCTTCAGTACATTTACTGTGTACGTAATAAAGAATCCAGATGTTTCAGGAGGTGTCCACTTCACCTTTATTTCATTTAGTCCAAACGTCTCCCATCTTTACACGATGAGTTCATGAGGAACACACTGCTGCAGCTCGACCTCCTTATCAATCAATACCACACACACACAGGCACACATGCACGCACACACGCACACACACACGCACACACACACACGCACACACACGCACGCACACACACGCACGCACGCACACACACACACGCACACACACACACACACACACACACACACGCACACACACGCACGCACACACACGCACGCACACACACGCACACACGCACACACGCACACACACACGCACACACACACACGCACACACACGCACGCACACACACGCACGCACGCACACACACACACGCACACACACACACACACAGGGGTGTTGTTTGCAGGGGGGGGGGGAGGTAATTCGAGATGCGTTTCCTCAGGAGTCTGATGAAGCAGCAGACTGATCGTGTCCTCTGGGTCCTAAAGTCCTTAAAACCCTTTAACCTTCAGCTCTCACCTTCACTTCTGTCCGTCTGTGACCTCTGGTGACCTCCGGTGTCCGTCTGTGACCTCCGGTGTCCGTCTGTGACCTCTGGTGACCTCTGGTGACCTCTCGTGTCCGTGTGTGACCTCTGGTGTCCGTCTGTGACCTCTGGTGACCTCTCGTGTCTGTGTGTGACCTCTGGTAACAGTGAGCGTCTGTCTCCTGGACATTCAGTTCATATTAAACTACAGCTGATTTATTTAGCTTCCTCCTGTGTGTGGTTAGGTATAAACTCCTAGAACGCCTCAGTTAACGTCAGTTAAACATTAAATGTCACATGTTTTTCCTACTTTCACTTCTCCACTTTGATTTACTCCCCGGTCACATCTGTGTTTGTGTTTAATACAACTTCCTGTTTATAACTACATTAAACAAGCTGTCAACATCACCACGACCCTCTGCTGCTGTTTCAATGTGTTTGCTCTGCAGGAAATAACATGCTCTACTGAAGACATGTCCCACGGGCCCTTGGTCTGGGGCAGTGTGACATTTAGTTTGGCAATCCCAGGATAGACTTTGTATTCTATTCTATTATTTATTACCTACGGAGGCAGACAGGTGCTGCAACGAGCCAAAGCTCTTCCATCAGGAGAAACAGCTTCAGAAAGGATGCAGATATAAAAACCCAAATGTTCCACATGAAGAAACATCTCCAGCAACGACACATGCAGCTGGGAGACCAGGGGACACTAAAGAGTGACGCACACAGCTGGGAGACCAGGGGACACTAAAGAGTGACGCACACAGCTGGTAGACCAGGGGACACTAAAGAGTGACGCACACAGCTGGGAGACCAGGGGACACTAAACAGTGACGCACACAGCTGGGAGACCAGGGGACACTAAAGAGTGACGCACACAGCTGGGAGACCAGGGGACACTAAAGAGTGACGCACACAGCTGGTAGACCAGGGGACACTAAAGAGTGACGCACACAGCTGGGAGACCAGGGGACACTAAAGAGTGACGCACACAGCTGGGAGACCAGGGGACACTAAACAGTGACGCACACAGCTGGAGACCAGGGGACACAGAATGTAGAGATGAGAGTTAATAGAATAACTCTCATCTCTACATTCTAATAACATGCATGACCTTCCTGTCCCTGCAGCAGTGTGTCTTTTGCACTATTTCTATACTCTTGTCTTAAATAAACTGTGTGTTGACGCAACAACAACACATTCACTTTTGAGCATTTCACAAAAAAACCTTTGCATTATTTATTTTTCATTTTTGCACATTTCTGCACAGCCATCCACTTTAAAATATAAAATACTGCAGTCAGTCATTTATTTTTACATGTAACTAGTAATTGTACATAAAGTGTTTAAAGTGACCCTCCCAACCCTGTTTATATAATATATATATATATATATATATATATATATATGTTTCTGCTACTGTGATATGTCTATATTTCTGTTGCTGCAGTATATTGGTCTTGAGTAGATATATATTTGCGTTTTGATTTTAATATATATTATTTATGTATTATTTCTATATTTTATTATATTTGTATTTTATTATATATTATTTAGGTATTATTTTCTATATTTTATTATACATTATTTAATTTTAATTATTTCTTTATTTTATTATATATACATTTATTTATTCATATATTGTTTTTATTTTATTGTAACCCTGTGGTAATGAGGCTGCAGTTCCCCCAGCCGCCACTAGAGGAGGAGTCACATTTCACTGATATCTTTAATTGATGACGTGTTGAGAGCGTGTCCCTGGGGGCGTGTTCGCAGCGTGTCGGTCGAATAAACACGACATGTGATACGACATGTGATCGACATGTGATACTCCTTCAAACAGGCGCATTATTTCTGCAGCTCTCGGTCGTGTCGCAGCGTCGCAGTTTCTCTGAGTTAAAAACAGAAAATGTGGATTTTGTTTTTCTTGCAGCGGCTGCAGCTCAGCAGCACATTCATCATCTCCTCTTTCCTCCCCCCTTCCTCCTCATTTGAACCTCCTCCTCCTCCTCCTTTTTGGCATCTTTCAAACGCAGCGCAGGCTCCTGATTGGCCGGCTGCGAGGTGTTGAGGGGTAGCAGCCAATCAGACGCTCCTTTCTTATCCCAGCCCCCCTTTTTATGCCACCTTGTTTTTAAACTTGCATGTATATTCACCTCCCCCCTTCCCCTCCTAAGATGTAAACCTGCCCTCCCCCTCCCCCTCCCTTATGTAGAAGAACAGCCTCTCAACATGGAGGGTCGCCAGCTCGCTTTGTGAGGCAGAAACAATGGCCGCCCCCTCCATTCTTCCTCCCCCTCCCTCCCTTCTGCAGATTTGTAGGTTGCAGTGCAGCCTCTCTGCTCTCAGAGCTATAAATAACTCGGCAGCCATCTTATCTTTGTCGGGGTGTGGGTGTGTGTGTGTGTTGTAACCCTGTGGAGAGGAAGTAGAGGGCAGATATGATGTCACATGACAGACGGAAAAGGAGCCAAACTGCCACAAATATGCAGCTTTTTGGATGTCTAAAAGGAGTAAATGTTTAAAAATGTGTTTGGTTTCTTTTCTATCTTAACATTTCTGGTTTTTTAAATGTAGTGTTGCATTCAGGGACTACAGATGGAGGTCGTTGCAAACAGGGTTTCTGCACAGAGACATGTCATTCAGTCGTGTGGTGTCACCATCGTAATGTTGCACCAATTTGACTCGAAAAATCGTCGAATGAAAGCTTGTTGTCATCCTCTAACGTTCTGAGATGATTGGGAGTCTGTAATGGAGATAATCAGGAGGTGGAACACCATGAAAACATTGCAGAAGAAGAAGGGGAGGTAATTAAAGAAGGTGAGGAACGAAGTAGAGTCTAGCACCAGGAGTCTAGGGCCAGGAGTCTGGCGCCAGGAGTCTAGCGCCAGGAGTCTAGAGCCAGGAGTCTAGAGCCAGGAGTCTAGAGCCAGGAGTCTAGAGCCAGGAGTCTAGTACCAGGAGTCTAGAACCAGGAGTCTAGTACCAGGAGTCTAGAACCAGGAGTCTAGCGCCAGGAGTCTAGCGCCAGGAGTCTAGAGCCAGGAGTCTAGAGCCAGGAGTCTAGAGCCAGGAGTCTAGTACCAGGAGTCTAGTACCAGGAGTCTAGAGCCAGGAGTCTAGCGCCAGGAGTCTAGCACCAGGAGTCTAGCACCAGGAGTCTAGCACCAGGAGTCTAGAACCAGGAGTCTAGAGCCAGGAGTCTAGAGCCAGGAGTCTAGCGCCAGGAGTCTAGCGCCAGGAGTCTAGAGCCAGGAGTCTAGCGCCAGGAGTCTAGCGCCAGGAGTCTAGCACCAGGAGTCTAGCACCAGGAGTCTAGCACCAGGAGTCTAGAGCCAGGAGTCTAGTGCCAGGAGTCTAGCGCCAGGAGTCTAGCGCCAGGAGTCTAGCGCCAGGAGTCTAGCGCCAGGAGTCTAGCGCCAGGAGTCTAGAGCCAGGAGTCTAGCACCAGGAGTCTAGCACCAGGAGTCTAGTACCAGGAGTCTAGCACCAGGAGTCTAGCACCAGGAGTCTAGCACCAGGAGTCTAGCACCAGGAGTCTAGCGCCAGGAGTCTAGCGCCAGGAGTCTAGCGCCAGGAGTCTAGCGCCAGGAGTCTAGCGCCAGGAGTCTAGCGCCAGGAGTCTAGCGCCAGGAGTCTAGCGCCAGGAGTCTAGCACCAGGAGTCTAGCACCAGGAGTCTAGCACCAGGAGTCTAGCACCAGGAGCAATGGGCAGCTATTGCACAGCGCCCGGGGAGCAATGGGAGTGGGGGAGGTCCGGTCGGGGACTTGAACCGGAGACCCTACGGCTCCCAGTCCACGCCCCCTACCGACTGAGCCACTGCTGTTTAATAATCGTTAGAAGTTTTTCTCCCAATTCGACTAATTTGCTGCGAGTTTTGAAAGAAAGTCATCGTCATGAGCTCTTCAACTTTTATCAAATGAACAAAGACCAAAACTAAACAATAAATCAGCAGATTAATCAGAGAAGAGGAAATAAAGACAAACGTAATAAGAATAAATGAGTAATATTTCAGCTGTTTTCTCACCGTTTATCGTCACAACTTTATTTTAAGAACCACAATATTATCTTCAGGTGATTTTGCAGAACTGGTGCTTCCATCTGTATTTCAAGCTTTCTAAATGATGCTGAAGTCAGAACAGGAAATACAAATGTGTTGTTTATTTTCTTCTATGCCGTGTCCAAATCTACATAAATAATATATATGAAGAAAAAGCACGGATTTATTTGATCACATAAAGAACATTTTCTTAATTCTGAAAGAGATCGACAGGATTGTAAAACATGAAACTGAAGCCAACACCAGAGGACCCCTTCAAAAATAGTCAGTTTTAGTGACGCGTAAACTTCACAGAGTAGATCGGACGTTCCTTCCTGTAGATGCGGACCACAAGGCATGATGGGAAATCCTCTTTAATTCCCCATCAATGAACTGAAAGAAACGCAGAGAGAATACAAGTTACAAAACTGTAAATATATCATCAGGGTGTGTTTGTAGAAAGATGGAGTCTGAGTCCTGTGGCGCTGATCTTGTTCATAAGATATATCAATAGAGCGGAGCAGGGATGACGTGTTTCTGTATGCCGACCCGGAAGTAAGCTGCTCGTTCCCTCGACTAAAAAGCAACGGGATTTCTCCATAGGATTTAGGAATATTGTAAAAAGTAAGGCTTGTGGAAAAGGAACCTGTTTGATAAAAGCACGTTTTGTTCAGCCGGATAATCTCCACATGTCTACTTTTATAATGTTCTAATCATAAATCTAATGGCCAGAAGCTACATGCTAACGTGATGCTATAAAGCCGTGGTCACCAACCAGTCGAGTGTGGTAGTGTTTTTAGATGTAAGCCCATCACCCACCGATTGACGTATCTTTGAGACATTCCTTGTCGCTCCCGAAAATAATAGACTGACTTCAAGTGATGCTGCATATTTTTTGAACTCACTGCACTTCTGGTAGATACCAACGACAACAAAATGAACATATTTTACCGTGATGTAATTGTAATACACGTTTCACAATGATGCCGGAATGACTACATACTGATACCGGTTAGTCAAAAACATAATGCTTTGACAAGTGTGCAGACAGGCGGAAAACCTTTTGTTTACGTGTTCGGCGTAATGACGTACAACGGCCTCGTCAACTTCTGTAGTCCTATTCAGCCACTTGGTAACAACCATCACGTACACTCTTCAGAAACCCCCAGTGGGGTCACTGCTGATGGATTTAATGTCGTAGAACAAAAGGTGACCCGTCTCTTCAATGCGTCTCAACCACAGACCTTAGTTCCAGATATTTTCCTAAATCCTATGGAGAGATCCCATTGGCTGAGACGAGGGAACAGGAAGTGGTGAAATGCTAATTCCCTTCCTGGTTTTAGGACTCGCCACTGCACCGCTCTATTCTCTCTAGAACATGTCGCCCGTATACAAGATGTCTCCGCGGACGTAAACAACAACGAGACGTAAAAACAAAGCCGTCTCAGCCGTCTGACGCTCCGTCTGATACTCATCTTTCTGGAGGAACAGAAATATTGTTTTCTGGCATCACTTTAACGTTGTAGGGGAAATATCTGCATGTTGTTACAGACAAAACCCTGGTAACAATAATAAAGTAGCATCTCTCAAGTAAAGAGACTGTTACATGTAAAAGTATTTTAATATTTAAATAAAAGTATAATACGCAAAATACAGTTAAAAGTATTATTGTTAAAAGTACCTTTTGCAGAAAATAGTTCAAAATGAATGTGAAAATCACTCAAACTGTTCAATTTATTATATCATATTTTATTATTTATTTTATTAATTTGTAAGGTGACTAAAGCTGTCGGATGAATCCATTACAATATCTGCTTTGATTTGGAGAGATTTATGAGTACAAATATCCCCAAAATACTAAAGTAAAAGTACCTCACATTAATACTCGAGTGATTGTACTCCATTACTTTCCACCTCTGCATCCAGGTTAGCGTAGCTTAGCACAAAGACTGGAAGCAGGGGGAAACTGTTAGCATATTTTCTGCAATCAATTTTATAATCCAAACGGAGGAATCCCATTGGCTTCTTGTGGAGAGGAGATGCTGCCTTCAGGCTCCAACTCAGAAATACGACATCGCATCACCGCTGTGTATTAATGTGTGTATTAAGGTGTGTATTAAGGTGTGTATTAAGGTGTGTATTAAGGTGTGTATTAAGGTGTGTATTGATGTGTGTATTAAGGTGTGTATTAAGGTGTGTATTAATGTGTGTATTAAGGTGTGTATTAAGGTGTGTATTAAGGTGTGTATTAAGGTGTGTATTAATGTGTGTATTAATGTGTGTATTAATGTGTGTATTAAGGTGTGTATTAAGGTGTGTATTAAGGTGTGTATTAAGGTGTGTATTAAGGTGTGTATTAAGGTGTGTATTAAGGTGTGTATTGATGTGTGTATTAAGGTGTGTATTAATGTGTGTATTAAGGTGTGTATTAATGTGTGTATTAAGGTGTGTATTCATGTGTGTATTACGGTGTGTATTAATGTGTGTATTAAGGTGTGTATTTATATTCTCAGGACTCACTTGAAGTTGTCTTTGTCCTGCAGGTTCAGCACCAGGCTGTCGGCGTTCAGGTAAACTCTATTCTGAGACGTCGCCATCTGCGGGGCGGGACACACACACACACACACACACACACACACACACACACACACACACGGAGTGAGCAGAGAACACACAGGTGGAGTTCCTGGTTGTGAGGCTGAAGCACAATGGGAACTTTGTCCGAGCTCCAACACTGAGCTGATTCAGAGACATGATGACGTGACTGTGACACACTTTCTCTCTCTCTCTGCAGCTACACACTCACACTTTCTCTCTCTCTCTCTCTGCTGTAGACACACAAATTCTCTCTCTCTCTGCTGCAGCTACACACACACTTTCTCTCTCTCTCTCTGCAGCAGCTACACACTCTTTATCATGTATTAAATCCACATTTGAGTGACGCTGCTAAGTGACGAATCAGCTGATGCATTTCTTGTTCTTTCATAAACTATAAATCAGACACTTAATGCATTCTCTCTCTCTTTCTTCTCTCCCTCTCTCCCCTCCCTCTCTCTCCTCTCCGCTACACACTCATTATTATTTATTAAATCCACATTAAAGAAATGCTACTGTAAAGACAGAAACTATATAATAGTTCTCATGCTAATTTAAGGAGTATTCTTAAACATAATAATGTCAAAAATCTTTATAAAAATACTCAGTTCATCCCTAATGTTTTCTGCCTTCCTGCCACTTTAAATTGAGTTAAACTGTGTTCAGTATATTTCATGTTCCTGTGGCGCCCCCTGGTGGCGACACTGAGCGATTGCAGGCTGAGCCAAACTGAGGCTTTGAGGGGAAATTGTGAAGCTAATTAATAAATCAAAACATGTGTTATCCTTTGAAATGATGAACCTCTCAACAATTTTTATACAATTCAATTAAATTGAATTCATCCTTTAACTGTTGTGTTCAGGTGTCAGCAGGATATTTCATGTTCATGTGGCGCCCCCTGGTGGTGACACTGAGCTACTGCAGTTTGGCTTTTCAGGGGAAACTGAGGCTAATTTTGAATAAAACATGTTTTTATTATTTGAAACGATGTGCTATTAACTTCTCAGAGGATTATTTAAAGAAAGGAGAGAGATTTATCCATTTTATTTCATTTTCAAGAAATCATAGTGACGCAGAAACTCATTTTAAATAATCCTTATGAAGTTAACATTTAAACTTTGAGCCTCTCTTCAGAAAATAATGTCATCATAATGTTTTTTCAGACAATATTTAACCTTATAGATTAAAATGCATCCAAATCTTCATTATTCAAGGGTTCATTTGGACTGTTTTCTTATTTTTGGAGCAAATAAATTGTCCATTATTAAAGTTTTTTGATTAATGTTTCTCACCGTCTTGGCGATGCTCTGTGCCGCCCGGATCTTCCTCAGCTTCAGGTAGCCGGGGTTCTTCGTCAACGCCTCTCCCAACTGACACACACAAAAAACACACACACGCATAAATGGTTAGTGTTTCCTCAGGAGTGTAAGTGTTACTCCCAGGGAGGATCAGAGCGGCAGGCGTGTCAGTTTCATATTTAATATTCTCACGCAGGTAAAAATAACTTTCTGCATATTTGTGTTTGGGTTGTGGCGAGAAACTTTTTACAGAGCGCACGTCAGGACAGGAAATCATCTCTGAGTATATAGTGTCTCTACTTTAAAGAGTCCTCTCCTGCTGATGTTCAGGTGTATATCAGTATGTAGTGTCTCTACTTTAAAGAGTCCTCTCCTGCTGATGTTCAGGTGTATATCAGTATGTAGTGTCTCTACTTTAAAGAGTCCTCTCCTGCTGATGTTCAGGTGTATATCAGTATGTAGTGTCTCTACTTTAAAGAGTCCTCTCCTGCTGATGTTCAGGTATATATCAGTATATAGTGTCTCTACTTTAAAGAGTCCTCTCCTGCTGATGTTCAGGTGTATATCAGTATGTAGTGTCTCTACTTTAAAGAGTCCTCTCCTGCTGATGTTCAGGTGTATATCAGTATGTAGTGTCTCTACTTTAAAGAGTCCTCTCATGCTGATGTTCTGGTGTATATCAGTATGTAGTGTCTCTACTTTAAAGAGTCCTCTCCTGCTGATGTTCAGGTGTATATCAGTATGTAGTGTCTCTACTTTAAAGAGTCCTCTCCTGCTGATGTTCAGGTGTATATCAGTATGTAGTGTCTCTACTTTAAAGAGTCCTCTCCTGCTGATGTTCAGGTGTATATCAGTATGTAGTGTCTCTACTTTAAAGAGTCCTCTCCTGCTGATGTTCAGGTGTATATCAGTATGTAGTGTCTCTACTTTAAAGAGTCCTCTCCTGCTGATGTTCAGGTGTATATCAGTATGTAGTGTCTCTACTTTAAAGAGTCCTCTCCTGCTGATGTTCAGGTGTATATCAGTATGTAGTGTCTCTACTTTAAAGAGTCCTCTCCTGCTGATGTTCAGGGTGTATATCAGTATGTAGTGTCTCTACTTTAAAGAGTCCTCTCCTGCTGATGTTCAGGTGTATATCAGTATGTAGTGTCTCTACTTTAAAGAGTCCTCTCCTGCTGATGTTCAGGTGTATATCAGTATGTAGTGTCTCTACTTTAAAGAGTCCTCTCCTGCTGATGTTCAGGTGTATATCAGTATGTAGTGTCTCTACTTTAAAGAGTCCTCTCCTGCTGATGTTCAGGTGTATATCAGTATGTAGTGTCTCTACTTTAAAGAGTCCTCTCCTGCTGATGTTCAGGTGTATATCAGTATGTAGTGTCTCTACTTTAAAGAGTCCTCTCCTGCTGATGTTCAGGTGTATATCAGTATGTAGTGTCTCTACTTTAAAGAGTCCTCTCCTGCTGATGTTCAGGTGTATATCAGTATGTAGTGTCTCTACTTTAAAGAGTCCTCTCCTGCTGATGTTCAGGTGTATATCAGTATGTAGTGTCTCTACTTTAAAGAGTCCTCTCCTGCTGATGTTCAGGTGTATATCAGTGTGTAGTGTCTCTACTTTAAAGAGTCCTCTCCTGCTGATGTTCAGGTGTATATCAGTATGTAGTGTCTCTACTTTAAAGAGTCCTCTCCTGCTGATGTTCAGGTGTATATCAGTATGTAGTGTCTCTACTTTAAAGAGTCCTCTCATGCTGATGTTCAGGTGTATATCAGTATGTAGTGTCTCTACTTTAAGAGTCCTCTCCTGCTGATGTTCAGGTGTATATCAGTATGTAGTGTCTCTACTTTAAAGAGTCCTCTCCTGCTGATGTTCAGGTGTATATCAGTATGTAGTGTCTCTACTTTAAAGAGTCCTCTCCTGCTGATGTTCAGGTGTATATCAGTATGTAGTGTCTCTACTTTAAAGAGTCCTCTCCCGCTGATGTTCAGGTGTATATCAGTATCTAGTGTCTCTACTTTAAAGAGTCCTTGAACTCACCATCTTGGCGGCCGTAGCCTCTCCTTCAGCTTGGATGATTTTATGTCTCTGGTCCTGTAGTGCTTTCTCAACGTAGAACTGAGCTCTCTGCGCCTCCTGCTGAGCTGCAAGCGAACACAGTCAGAAACACTTCAGTTAATAAATAAAACAATATATTCGTTTTAAAAACTGCAGTATTTGAAATTTGCAAATTAGTTTTAGACACATTTGAAATTTGAAAATAAAGTGTAAAATCCTGTTGATTAATCCTAATGACTCAAATGTTTTAAAATGCCCAGTTAATGATCAGATACAAGAGAAAAGAACATTTTCAGTAAATAAATATATAAAACATGACAGTGTGTGTGGCTGGAGGAGGAGGCGTGGCTTCTTCCTCCTGACGTCCTGTTACTCACCGACTTGCTTTGCCTCCACGGCGGCGGTGTATTCTCGGCTGAAGCTCAGCTCTGTGATGGCCACGTCGTCCAGGATGATGTTGAAGTCTTTAGCTCGCTCGAACAGATCTCTGCGGATCAGCAGCGACACCTGGAGGAGGAAGGAGACGAGAGGGTTTCTGATGAGTTATAGAGGAGGTAGACAACTCCTCCTTGATTATAGCAAGAGGATTTCTTGTTGTGTCAAATTATCATATAAAACATATCATCACCATTCAGACTGTAACCACTGCCAGTCTGAATGGTGGGGTCTGTAACCACTGCCAGTCTGAATGGTGGGGTCTGTAACCACTGCCAGTCTGAATGGTGGGGTCTGTAACCACTACCAGTCTGAATGGTGGGGTCTGTAACCACTGCCAGTCTGAATGGTGGGGTCTGTAACCACTACCAGTCTGAATGGTGGGGTCTGTAACCACTACCAGTCTGAATGGTGGGGTCTGTAACCACTACCAGTCTGAATGGTGGGGTCTGTAACCACAGTCAGTCTGAATGGTGGGGTCTGTAACCACAGTCAGTCTGAATGGTGGGGTCTGTAACCACTGCCAGTCTGAATGGTGGGGTCTGTAACCACTGCCAGTCTGAATGGTGGGGTCTGTAACCACTGCCAGTCTGAATGGTGGGGTCTGTAACCACAGTCAGTCTGAATGGTGGGGTCTGTAACCACTGCCAGTCTGAATGGTGGGGTCTGTAACCACTACCAGTCTGAATGGTGGGGTCTGTAACCACAGTCAGTCTGAATGGTGGGGTCTGTAACCACTACCAGTCTGAATGGTGGGGTCTGTAACCACTGCCAGTCTGAATGGTGGGGTCTGTAACCACTACCAGTCTGAATGGTGGGGTCTGTAACCACAGTCAGTCTGAATGGTGGGGTCTGTAACCACTACCAGTCTGAATGGTGGGGTCTGTAACCACTACCAGTCTGAATGGTGGGGTCTGTAACCACTGCAAGTCTGAATGGTGGGGTCTGTAACCACTGCCAGTCTGAATGGTGGGGTCTGTAACCACTGCCAGTCTGAATGGTGGGGTCTGTAACCACTGCCAGTCTGAATGGTGGGGTCTGTAACCACTGCCAGTCTGAATGGTGGGGTCTGTAACCACTGCCAGTCTGAATGGTGGGGTCTGTAACCACTGCCAGTCTGAATGGTGGGGTCTGTAACCACTACCAGTCTGAATGGTGGGGTCTGTAACCACTGCCAGTCTGAATGGTGGGGTCTGTAACCACTACCAGTCTGAATGGTGGGGTCTGTAACCACTACCAGTCTGAATGGTGGGGTCTGTAACCACTACCAGAAGTTTATTTCTGGGAAAGGTGGCAACACATCCAATCTCCAACCAATGCTGTCTCGTACGGCAACCAAGCACCTTTGTGTTCAGTTCAGCAGGTGAGACCCTACGCTGTGAAAGGGCCCGTTTTTTAGTTTTCTTTCATCAGGCAAATGTTGATTTTAATGATGCTATTTTTTTTATGTGCAATGCTGAGATCTCATGATCCTTCATGTGTTCTCTGGTTCAATCTCAGGTTGAATATTGATTATCCTGGTGCTGTTTTCTTTTTCCATTCACAAGACCTGCTATTCCCGCCTGAAGGTTGATATAAATGATATTGCAGATTCTTCATAGATAACGTGTTTTTCATTGTTTGTTCAGTACTAAAAGGTCCAAGTCCCACACTTGAATTTAATATTCATTTGACATGTTAACTACATCATAAAGCGCTTCATGGGAGTAATTGCGGGATGATTCCATTTTTCCTTTATGCAACATGAAAGTATCACGATATGTATCGGTTGAGTATCGGTATCGTTCAGTGGTATCGGTATCGTTAAAAAGTCAACGATATGCAACCCTACTCTGCCTGCATTTTACACTGTTAAAGTCATGTGACCGTGCTGTAGTTCCTTTATAGCCCAACATTAGCCACCTTTAGCTTAGCGGTGGTGGCATGAAGTCATGTGACCGTGCTGTAGTTCCTTTATAGCCCAACATTAGCCACCTTTAGCTTAGCGGTGGTGACGTGAAGTCATGTGACCGTGCTGTAGTTCCTTTATAGCCCAACATTAGCCACCTTTAGCTTAGCGGTGGTGACGTGAAGTCATGTGACCGTGCTGTAGTTCCTTTATAGCCCAACATTAGCCACCTTTAGCTTAGCGGTGGTGACGTGAAGTCATGTGACCGTGCTGTAGTTCCTTTATAGCCCAACATTAGCCACCTTTAGCTTAGCGGTGGTGACGTGAAGTCATGTGACCGTGCTGTAGTTCCTTTATAGCCCAACATTAGCCACCTTTAGCTTAGCGGTGGTGGCGTGAAGTCATGTGACCGTGCTGTAGTTCCTTTATAGCCCAACATTAGCCACCTTTAGCTTAGCGGTGGTGGCGTGAAGTCATGTGACCGTGCTGTAGTTCCTTTATAGCCCAACATTAGCCACCTTTAGCTTAGCGGTGGTGACGTGAAGTCATGTGACCGTGCTGTAGTTCCTTTATAGCCCAACATTAGCCACCTTTAGCTTAGCGGTGGTGGCGTGAAGTCATGTGACCGTGCTGTAGTTCCTTTATAGCCCAACATTAGCCACCTTTAGCTTAGCGGTGGTGACGTGAAGTCATGTGACCGTGCTGTAATTCCTTTATAGCCCAACATTAGCCACCTTTAGCTTAGCGGTGGTGGCGTGAAGTCATGTGACCGTGCTGTAGTTCCTTTATAGCCCAACATTAGCCACCTTTAGCTTAGCGGTGGTGGCGTGAAGTCATGTGACCGTGCTGTAGTTCCTTTATAGCCCAACATTAGCCACCTTTAGCTTAGCGGTGGTGACGTGAAGTCATGTGACCGTGCTGTAGTTCCTTTATAGCCCAACATTAGCCACCTTTAGCTTAGCGGTGGTGGCGTGAAGTCATGTGACCGTGCTGTAGTTCCTTTATAGCCCAACATTAGCCACCTTTAGCTTAGCGGTGGTGACGTGAAGTCATGTGACCGTGCTGTAGTTCCTTTATAGCCCAACATTAGCCACCTTTAGCTTAGCGGTGGTGACGTGAAGTCATGTGACCGTGCTGTAGTTCCTTTATAGCCCAACATTAGCCACCTTTAGCTTAGCGGTGGTGACGTGAAGTCATGTGACCGTGCTGTAGTTCCTTTATAGCCCAACATTAGCCACCTTTAGCTTAGCGGTGGTGACGTGAAGTCATGTGACCGTGCTGTAGTTCCTTTATAGCCCAACATTAGCCACCTTTAGCTTAGCGGTGGTGGCGTGAAGTCATGTGACCGTGCTGTAGTTCCTTTATAGCCCAACATTAGCCACCTTTAGCTTAGCGGTGGTGGCGTGAAGTCATGTGACCGTGCTGTAGTTCCTTTATAGCCCAACATTAGCCACCTTTAGCTTAGCCGGTGGTGACGTGAAGTCATGTGACCGTGCTGTAGTTCCTTATAGCCCAACATTAGCCACCTTTAGCTTAGCGGTGGTGGCGTGAAGTCATGTGACCGTGCTGTAGTTCCTTTATAGCCCAACATTAGCCACCTTTAGCTTAGCGGTGGTGGCGTGAAGTCATGTGACCGTGCTGTAGTTCCTTTATAGCCCAACATTAGCCACCTTTAGCTTAGCGGTGGTGACGTGAAGTCATGTGACCGTGCTGTAGTTCCTTTATAGCCAGGGGTGCACACAACTTTCTCAGTGAGGTCCTCAGATGAGTACCTGGAGTCAGTGTTTGGTACTCCAACTTCTGACCATTGTTAACGGGGGGGGGCGTCAGTGGAGTACACCGCTTCGCGATTGTCAACGGGGGGGTGGCGTCAGTAGAGTACAGAGCTTCGTGACCGCGGCGCGTGTGAACGTTGTGATCAGCTGTTTTAGCGCAGGGCTGCTGTACAGACCGACGTTAACAGCAGCCCTGTCTGTGCACACGGAGACCGACTCTGTCGTCCGGTGAACTAACCGCCTTCTGGAAAAGCTTCACATTTACGTCGGTACGCAAATGCGCTTTGTGACACAAGTGACGGTACGCATTTCAGATTGTTGCCGCGCATGCGTACCTGCGTACCAGTTATGTGCACCCCTGTTTATAGCCCAACAGTTTGTAGGTGTATTCTTGTGTTGTCTAGTGTTGTCATATTTGCTGAAAACCATCTATCTAAGCTTGGTGTGTGGTGGTGTAATATGAAGAGTTTGTGTGTGTGCAGTGTGTGTGTACCTGTGCGTGTGTGTGTGTGTGCATGTGTGTGTGTGTGTGTGTGTGTGTGTGTGACCTGTGCGTGTGTGTGTGTGCGTGTGTGTGTGTTACCTGTGCTCTCTGAGTGATGAGCTGCGAGGCGTTGGACCCTTTGCCACGACGCTCTTCAGGCAACCTCGTTGACAGTGGAGGGCAGAACTCTCTCATCGTAGTCCTGTCCGAGCTGCTGGTAGAGGAATCGGCAGTGTTGGAGGCCAGCTGCCGCGAGAGCACGCGCAGAGAGATGTTCACCATCTGCAGATCTGAGAGGAGGAGAGAGAGGAGGAGAGGAGGAGTCCAGAGAGGAGGAGAGAGAGAGGAGAAGAAATGAGAGGAGAGAGGATGAGTCGAGAGATGAGATTAGATCGGGGAGAGGAGGAGAGGAGGATGAGGAGGAGAGGAGGAGAGGAGGCTCATCACAAGGAGGGAAATACAACTCAAATGCAAGAGAGGGCAAAAGTACACACATCCTTTACTCAATGTAGAAGTACAGATACTCGTGTTTTAAAAATACTCTGGTAAAAGTAGAGAAGTACTGACTAAACTTCTTTACTCAAGTCAAAGTAAAGAGGCTTTGAAATGTACTTCAGTAAAAGTACCCATAACTAGCAGCTGTTTTAAAGAGTACCTGACCTCCCTTTGAACCCATTTATTGGTATTTTCCTATACTCTCAGATATGTTTGTTGATGTGTGAAGCCCTCTGAGACAAATGTGTTTGTGATATTGGGCTATATAAATACACAATACTGAATTGAATTGAATATATTAATGAGGAAACAGCTGATCCTACATCGCATCATTAAACCTCCTTGTCCTTAACCTTTTACGCTTCCTTAGGTATGTAAACCCTTAACTTTTGTCTCTGTTCAACACATTCAAGACTACAAGGCAATCAGAGTATACGACTATATGTTTTAAATGATTATATGATGATCATTTGACACGACAATGTATATCTAAATCATAACTCAGGCGGTTGCTTTCCAGGTGGCAGTAGTGTGCATTGTGTGGATGATGTTCAGAGGGTTAGGGTCTGACCTTTGCTTCCTGTGAGCGAGGAGATCTTCCGGGGGCGGGCTCTGATGTCGTAGATGATGGGGTACTGGATCCAGGGGATCCTGCAGGACACACGGGCATATCAGGCATGATGTTAGATTAAGAGCTTTACTCTCATCAGAGACCAGAGGCCTGTACTACGAAGCCGGATGTTCTCTGAGCTGACTTCAGGGAAAACTCGGGCTTTCCGGTCCTACGACGCTGGTTCTCTTTTTAGCGGGCTAGATCTCCATGGTAACGTATGCTGAACGGCTAGCCTGGTCCGGAGCAGGTTAGGTGGCAGACTAAGAGATCAACTCAGTGAAAGCACCGCCTGCTGACCAATCAGAGCTCCGTGTGCGGAGTTTAAAGCGATCAAGTCATATTACAGGATAGAGGAAATACAGAAAAACTGCCGTTGCAGGAAAGACGGCCGGCAAAAATCAACTGACTGTGTGAACGAGAAAATGAATAGAATATCCCCTCCCATCTTCAGAGCAATCTGACTATTATAACATTAGCGTTAAGAAAGCTTACTTAAATATCTGCCACGACATAAGTAACCGGATCAGAGTAACATTACGTACAGTCCGCGGCACTGTGAGTGCAGACGTCGATGTGTCCCATTATCATTCATATCATATCACATCATAATGTATCATATATCTCCTTATCTGAGTCAGCTGAGCCGTATCTGGCCGTGCAACACTCACAGTGTCACATACTGTATGCAGAAGTATTCTTTTAAGCAACACATTAAGTTGATGAAACACTCGAGTCAAATGTAATTAAAGTCAGATCCACTCGTGTCTTAGACGGGGCAGTGATTTCATAAACCTGTTAATGTACGCATTCAAACACTTTCTCTGTTACCAGCTGTATTCACCTTGCAGGTGCAGCTATGTGGCTTTGATCCTGGATAAAGTGTTTAAGTCATGGATGTTTAAAGTTTAACTTCTTCATATTTGACTAATATTAAAGTTCACTTTTCATTCAGGAAGTATGACGCTGCGCTGTCAGTACGCTTGTCCGTGTTTGTGATTGGTCGAATGCTCCAAATACCACCCCTTTCATGTGAACGCGCACCTAACTAGATAGGACACGGCTGGCTTGAGCGATCCACTTGATAACCAGCGTCGTAGGACCGTTTAGCGAGAGCGCGTATGTTTTGGATTGGGCCAACCGGCTAACTCCAACATATCCAGGTTAGGTTGAACCAGCTTCGTAGTACAGGCCTCTGGTGTATGGCCAGCTAGGTTGTTTGTTATTGTTTACAACAGAGATGTGTATACAGGGGTGGACATTAAGGGTAGGCCGAGACATCAACATCTATTTTCTTTACCACTGGCCCCACCATGCTATATGTGACATACTGTATGTAGTAACGCGTGTTGTGTATTGTTCTCTTTTATCCTTTCGCCTGTATCAACTCGTCTTTCATCCTTTTTATTTTATTTTATATTTTATGCTGTTGATATATTGTGATTCTAACGGTGTCTTTTTCCATCTGGCCGGGGACACCAGCTGGAAGTGAGCCATGTCGGCTAAAGCTGCTCCATTTACTGTTTTTGTGACAGTTCATCGACGGGGACTGTCCACGACACTATGAACAAATAAAATAAACTAAACCATGGTAACCACTGGCGTTTCGTGAGGCGGTTGTCAATGACAACCGCCTCACGAAACGCTATGTTGTAGCGTTAATAAAACGAAACAATTTAACAAGATTGCTTGTCAAAATACCAACACCACTGGACCATGTGATTTGATGTCTTGCTGGTATTTCTTTCTTCCTTGTTGCGGTCAGTCAGTGCACGTTCCCCTGTCATTATGAATACAGATGATGAGAGGTGAAGCAGCAGGTGTGAGTTAGTGGAGGATGCTCCTACCTGAAGTGCAGTCCTTCAGAGAGGACCGTGTCCATCTGCATCCCCCCGACCCGGTTGAAGATGATCGCTCTCTGCCCTCCTTCAACTGAGGCAAACACACACACACACACACACACACACACACACACTTAGAAAAATATCTAACATGTAATATTTTCCCACATGTTTTTTCACATTACACACCATGTAAACAATATCTTGTTATTTATTTCATTTAAGTATTGCCTGTTCCAAATATTTGCACATTTGTACACAAGCTACCTCTAATCCACTCCCAGAACAACCTGCAACATATTGTATTTTAATATTTTGGCAACAGTATACTTCACGCAGTTTTTTTGGTTTATCCAGATTTCATGTCAATAATTTTCTGTATCTTAACGTAGAATAGCTTCAACTGTTTCAAATTGTACTTTTTGGTTATTTTTCGTACTTTTTAAAATCTTCTTTAACCGTGTTATGTTGCACCAAGGTGAATTCCTCATATGTGTAAACCTACGTGGGATGGGGTATCACATCGAGACGGGTTAAGGTTAACCGCACCTCGGAGCGCTTAGTTCTCTCCGCCGTGTGTGTGTGTGTGTGTGTGTGTGTGTGTGTGTGTGTGTGTGTGTGTGTGTGCATGTAGCAGAGCGTAGTAGGCCCACGTTATAAATAATAAAAACACAATAAGTAGTATATATAGCAGTATAGCTTAAAGAAATTACCAAACAAAACATTGGTTTGCGTTTTGTGGAGAAGTTTCTTAGTTGTTAAACAGCCGAGCGCTGCAGGAGAGTGACACAACCTTTAGTGAGAACTAGAGTTTAAAAGCTTCCAGTAGGGCTGTGCAATTAATCCTATTTTAATCGCAATTACGATTTTGGCCTGCCACAATTACGAAAACACATAATCGAAAAAAAACAATTATTTTGCTTTGCTAGGTTGTGACACTGCAACATATTGGTCTCATTTATTTGTATTTATCATAATTTACATATGTTTAGTAGCTTGTTGAAGTGCGCTCCAAAATATTGTTGATCTTGTTTATTGGTATTTATTATTTTGATATTATTTATTTAAATGTATCATTTATTTTTGTATTGGTTTTTCAGTGGAATTATAGTTCAGGGGTAATCAACAGTTAGAAAGATACTGTTCAAATTATTATTTGTATTTGTTTTAAAGTTCAATAAATGGATGTTTTCAAAGTCAATGAATAATCGTATTTAATAATCGTGATATCAATTATTGACCCAAATAATCGTGATTATGATTTTTGCCATAATCGAGCAGCCCTAGCTTCCATCGTGTTTTATTATCAGAGTTTAGAGATGTGTTTATCTTCACGGTCTATGTATATTTTCTACTTGTTAATGCTGCTTTAAATTCAATTTTTTGAGATGTTTAATTTCTAGAAATTGTTTATTTCTACTCTTTCATTCCTACGTATGTTTTTTATGCTGCTGCACACGCAAACATTTCCCTATTTGGGATCAATAAAGTCGAGCCAGAAAACTGTGTGAAAAAGTACCCGCTAGCCGGAACGACTCCTCGTGGAAACTAGGGATGCTAAGATTCACATCGGTGCACCGGCATAAACGTGATGAAGATGCGAGTGCACGGGTTGAAGAGTGCAGGTTGAAAGAGTGCACGGGTTGTTGAAAGAGTGCACGGGTTGAAAGAGTGGCAGGGTTGAAAGAGTGCACGGTTTGTGAAAGAGTGCACGGGTTGAAAGAGTGCACGGGTTTGAAAGAGTGCAGGGTTTGAAAGAGTGCAGGGTGGTTGAAAGAGTGCAGGTTGAAAGAGTGCACGGGTTGAAAGAGTGCAGTTGAAAGAGTGCCTTTTGAAAGAGTGCACCGGGGTGAAAGAGTGCACCGGTTGAAATGATTGCACGGGTTGAAAGAGTGCACCAGGTTTGAAAGAGTGCAGGCGGTTGAAAGAGTGCACGG